AGCACCATGTACAACAACAGCACCGCCTTGTGAAACCACAACAGAACCGTGTGTAACAACGCCATGTGCAACAGCGGAAATTTTGTGGCAATACGATGATAACGACGACGAAGACTGTGATGAGAGTGATGCATCCATTGTACGTGTTTACACTTCCCAAAATGATTGCGTCAACTTGCGCGATGGTACTTATCTCGTAGATCGCAGATTTTGTCACCGCTTCTACGTGTGCCTCAACGGATCTGCACAGCAATTGAGATGTCCGCTCGGCTTCCACTTTGATAGAGACGTGAAGAGTTGCCGTCCTCGCCGCGAGGTGACAAACTGTCGATATATCTGGCCCTGAATTAAATACTCTCCAAACACTATCCTTATTAAATATTACGCGCACATAAAATAATCTGTTCTAAACTTGTTATCCGCTGCAGCAGCTGCAGAATATGTGTATTATAAAAAGAGCATTCCAAAAATCCAAYATCTGCTGTCGGCTTTATTTGAATTCGCAGCTGTTTAAAAAATTTCATGGCAATGCGGAAAAACGACAGTACCTAAAAATGAGCGCGCCTCTAATAGGACGTCTAGAGGGTACAGAAACGAACAGACACCCMGCGTAAATGGTAGAATTCACTTTTTTTCGCCAGATTAAGGTAAGAATTGAAAACAGCGGGCGTTGAAAATTATATATTTCATAATAAGCTAGAACTCTGTCAGTCAGGGTGCAGCCGACAAAGATTGAAAAAAAAACCCCGACATTCCTTTCAGTGCTTAGAACTGCAATAATGGTCCAAAATATTATCTGGAATGTAAAGGTRTTAAGAATTTGGTTACTTCGAACCACAGTCTCTTTCCGAGACTCAATTCACACACAAGCATATTTATAGGGTAAGAACCACTACAATCCCAATGGCATAGCAAATCCACTCTGACCRCTTATGTTATGTGAAAAAAACGGTAATATACATATACATATTTATTGGCAGGCAAGTACCGTTATTGACAATTAATTATAGGAGTTTATGTGTAAGCATGCATGCACAATGCATCACCGCGCCTTGGACTGCAAGCATGCATAATTTCAGCCAATCACTTCCGCTCAAAATCTGCTCCTTGTTGCCTGGTATTGGATAACAGTGCTTGCAAGGGTTGTACTATATATCTTGCTATTATTAAGCCTGCTTATGCAAGCCAATGTGCGCTTATGCAGCGGTGTGTGTATGTAAATACATATTTGTGTTGATTGYTGTTTTTTAGTTCAGTAAGCTTTAATCAAAGTATAATTTAGGATTTTAGTACATTCAACATTCTTTCTGCTCTTAAAATGCCTGAAATTGTACAAATCAGTAATTATTTCCGGGTCTACAATGATGCAACTATGGAAACGGTATTTCAGAAAACCATGTAGCGGTTTTTTGATTGGATCACAGGAAAATCTAAATATATTGGTCTTTGGGTTATTGTCAAAAATGCAGGTGTAACAAAAATTCAAATAATGTAAAAACTCTGTTTAAAAACAAAACAAATTTCAGCGGCCTCATTGAATTTATGTCGCGAGAACATTTTATTAACTTGCTTTTCAATAGGAACGCCACAAAAATGGACCAATAAATATAGCAAACGACGCCATATTTTTTCGCGCTCTTTTGATTTATCCCTTCAATGAAGTTTKTCATTTCATCATGAAAAGATATATGCGGCAATAACAAGTCGAAATATTTAAAATTTATTACCGCAATTAGAGTCAGTGGTGTCAACTTTAAGAGCGCTATGAGCATTTATTATCAYCACAATCATCCCGTCAGATCAACAATTAAGCATCTAGCGGAAAAATTGGAATCCAAAGGCACAGCATAAAAGGTTACCGTGCCAGTGAGATAAGGAAGTGCCCGTAGTGTTGAGAATATTGCTGCCACTGCTGTCACTGTGAATGGGAATCGCTACCGCTCAATGATAACCGAATAATTTGGCTCGAATTAGATGATATGGACTTTTGTCATATGTGGTTCCAACAAGAAGGCACCACAGACCACACAGTGAGTGTCAAATTCGATTTATTGAAAACTAGGTTTGGTAAACGTGTTATCTCACGAAAAGACCCAGCCAATTGGCCGCCTCGTTCGTGCGATTTGGCGCCGCTAGATTATTTTCTGTGCGACTACGTCAAATCTATGGTCTATGCCAACTAGCCAGTGACGATTGATGAACTTCGTACGAATACCGAACGTAAAAGTGCAGCTGTAACGATCGATTTATGCTTGAAAACCGTCGAAAATTGGGTTCAGCGTCTGGAGTTCTGCAAGCGTGCTCGTAGTGGGCATGCAAAATACATTGAGTTTCAAATATAATGGCATTTGAATGTACTTTCAGAGGAATATTGCATTTCATCATAGCGCTCTTATTTAAAACCCCGTTAGAAGTAAAAGGTACTTGTCTAGATCTACGGGTCTCGACAATTAAGAGAGTAAGTGTTTTTGCAGAAGAAACTAGCAGTCAGAACCTCTTCAGCGAAGTCACAAAAAAGAAAGACTTCTGCTTGGCCTTCAAGTAGTTAACTGTCGAGTTTGGAATCTAAAGCGAATGGTATTTTATATATATAATGCTTTGTTCTACTTAACCAAGCGCACTAATCAGTAGAACAGAATACGAAGCTAAATTTAATTAAATGGTCCATTGAGAGCTCAAAACATTACCCGCTAAAAGTAAAGCTAAACACCAACTATTAACGGAATTTGCGTGGAAATAATTGAATTCCCGTGCACAATGCTTAAGTTGTCAGAAAAGCGCTTTCCAGCAGCACTTGCTTATTGACACATTTGACACTTTTCAATGCTAAATGCAGGCATAGCGCGCAGAACCATTTAAAGCAACAAACCAACATATGCATACATACACTTACATGCCTTCGAACAATAGTTTGAGCAGATAAATTAATTAGCTGAAATAGTTAAGCGTAGCTGCCATTGCCATAACATGTGAGTGGGAGGCAGTCAGGAAAAGCGTTTGTGGAGTGGCACGTGTTCGCCCACCCGGCCACATGCTCATGTGTCGCCATGTCACTGCCGTTACACGTGTGTGCGAATGCTTGTGTGCGCATATTTACATATAAATAGAGACTATGGCTTTTGTATAGGCCGTTACTCGGTTGGTCATAAATTAAATTTGCAGCAGGCGCGTGCGCGTCGACATTGTTCCAGCATGCATTCAAATGCCAATTATGTACAACAACTACAATAACAACGGCAAATAGTTGGGCAAAGCAACAAGCATGCAAATACTTGGTGCCAGCTAAAGACACTAGCGCAACAACAACAACAACAATAGCAGCAGCAACTATATAACAAGCACAACGACAATTGCATTTGCCTTCGTGTGACAGCAGCAGGATGTGTGTGGCGGCAGGCGCTGCGGCTGCTGAGGCGAAGTCCTTGCCAAATTTGCGCACAAAAGACGGTTGACGTTTGTCACACGACGTGTGAACGTGTAAATTTTGTGAAGAATGCAAGCGCACACATACATAGAAGCGCAAGTAACAGCGCGTTTAGTTCCGAAACAATATAATTTCGTGCAGCGAATGGGGGAATTTAGAAAAATTATGCCTCCACGTCAATTTAGCAGGTGTTCGCGCGAATTGTTGTTTGTTATTTAAAAGTGTTAGTAAACATGTAGTAAAGTGCCAAATTCGGGTATAACCGAACTCTTCATATTGTTGCAACTTCCAAGAATTAAAGCCGGGGTAGTACATTGAGCTACAAAAGTCTTTTTAGTTATGGTATATGGGGCATAGGGAAAGTTTTCACTCGATTTAACTCATTATAGGCACAAATATGTGCTGTTATTAGAAAAACACAATATCTTATCTCAATTTTAAGCCTTACGAAAGTTCGAAAATTTTTACTTGAGCTTGTGGTTCCCTACTTTTTTTGAAGAAAACACCCATAAACTTCAAATTTAATGCGGTTAACATTCGAAAGCACATTCTTTGACATTCATTTTTTGAAGCTTACCTCTTCAAATGTTGGCCGCGGCTACGGCTCAGATGGTCCACTCGTTGAGTTCAATATTGGATGATATTCGTTCGACCACTTCGACTGGTAACTGGCGAACGGCACGCGTGATTGTTTGCTTCAAGTCCTCAATCGTAGCAGTATTGACTGCATAAACTTTAGATTTTACATATCTCCGCAGCAAAAGGTCTAACTGTGTTATATCACATGATCTTGCTGGCCTAACGACCGGCTCAAAACGTGATATTATCTGCTCATCAAAGTGTTATCTCAATCAATCCATTGATTGATGGGATGCGTGGGAAGTGACGCCGTCTTGTTGAAACCAAATGTCGCCAAGATCTCGAGCTTCAATTTCAGGCATCAAATAGACTATTATCATGGCGCATTCATGGTCGCCATTCACGGTTTGTTGACATTCGGACCGACATAATTTTCTCAAAAAAATATGTACAATTCTCTTTCTAGAAACTTTAATCTCCACTTGTTGGTATTAAAGACTCTTTCTTATCTGCCTTAGCTACGTCTTCCGTCACTTCTCTCCACTAACATTTACTCCATCTCTCTTTGAAGTTCAGTAGCAATAAGTATGACCTCTTTACTTGTCCTGCTCAAGTAGCAAAGCGCACTTAACATTTTATATTATGTGCTTGCTGCCAAGGTTTATTTCAGAGGTTAAGTCTACGCTTCACTTAATATACCTCGAGCACATATTGTCGGATATCCGTTTTAGTGTTTAAAACAAAGTCTACACAGACTTCGTGTTCGGTGTACAACCTGCTGGTATGTCTGTATGTATTTGCTTCTTTGGTGCAGACACGCCTTTCGCTTGTCAGCGGCAGTGCTGCAGCAATAGCCGCCACACATATGCAACAGTTATGACTAATACAAATAAGAGCAACAAACAGCGAGGGTGCGAGTGGCCTGCTTCGTTTGTAGGAGAAGCGTTTTGCACATAAATTCAGCTGAATATATGCGCTGCCGAACAAATTTGTGCTTGCATATGCATACACACGAAAATATGTGCACGCACATATGCATGCATAATATACGTATACGTTTTGGTTAAGGTTGTGTGTGTGTGTGTGCGGAGCATGAAATTCGCATTTGTATTTTTGTTTAATGTATTTGCGCTCGTGTTTTCAACATTCTTTTGTTTCGCACAAAGCAGGCAGCGGAAGCGGAAATGTCAACAGAAACGACAAAACATGCTTCCACCACTTCGACGTTTAACCGACTTCCGGTGCACCAAGAGCGCTGACTTCTTGCCATTACACATTTGCGGCATTTTTATTTTCGCAACGACCTTACTTTCCTAAGACTTTTTGCTCCACTGTTAACTTCATTTTTCATATACAAACATATATATATATATATAGTATATTATGTATAGTATATACGAATGTGTGTATAAAGTATATCTACTTGGCAGCGCATTAAGCCTAAGCTTTTGTTTCATTCGGTTGAGAGTATA